GTGTTGCACTCTTTACTCACATTGATCCCGGGAATTAAAACTTTTTCGCAAACATTTGAAACCATAATATATACGTATATCTTTATATAAATATATTTTGCAAAACTAAATTTTAAAAACATTTGAAATCCACTACCAGCAATTAGGTTTCTATTAGAGAGAGTGCATTTCCCTGATCATTCACTTTGTCCGACAAAGGGGCTGATCCTGTCACTATGATCACCCACTCAAGTGAATTCTCAGACTGCCCCAACATACCCAGGTTTTGACCCCCTCTAAGGATCTCACTGATTGACATATCAAAGACAGCCCAATCTGACACCTAGTAAAGTATCATAATCGAGTTTAGGGGTCAGGTGTAACTTTTCAGTTTTGCCCATCTGTCTCCAAGGTCCAGGGCAATACTGGAAACTGGTCTAGTTTAGGGTTTCAAGCAAACCCACATTGCATGTACCTCAGGTCTCACCTTGGCAGTCGAGACAAGCCACCCCACCCCAACCAACTTAGCGGCACATTAGTATTAGCCTTGGCAGGATAGACCTCTCCAGATCTATCCAACGGTTGTGAAGATTCTAAACTAAAGCGAATCTCATAAGTGTCCAGTTTATGGGTAAACACAAAAATATACCACAGTGACATGAATCAACTATGTACTTTATTCATTTACAATAAATGTCTAAAGTTACATCAATCTGATTGGATCTAAGGGCATAACCATCCAACAACCGCTTTATGATCAGGGGCATGAAATTGGATCTAGGGGCATGAAATTGCTTTCACCCAGAAGTTGCAGCAACACCACCTTTGCTTCAACTCAATCCATCTCTTTGCCTTTGCTGATGATTTCCTACCAACTGGTTTGGCTGGGCCAGTTCCATTGGCAACACAGATGGCACCGCTTGTAGGGAGTTTGGGCGCATGATGCCACTAATGATTGCCTGCCAACTGGTTTCATCCAGGCCAGTTCCACCAGCGATATAGGTGCTACTACTTGCAGAGGGTTTGGGCGTGTGATGCCTCTGGTGCAACCGACCTTCTACCATTTCATCCCTATGCCCATGGTTCACAGCGTTAAGCTCTTGTAAGGCCTCTCCTTTGCTTTAGCCGCCATTAAATCCATATAGGTTTTCATCGTTGCCATTTCATCCTTTGCTTTCTCTGCCATCAATTTGATGATGCTCATTGTTGCCAATGTTATGAATGTTAACAAAAGGGTTTTTTAGTGCAAAAATGATAGGGATGTAAGTGTTGAGATTGCCTACAGAGCCACGTTTTTTTCCCTTTTCCCTATTTTATTTTGAAAATTTGAAGAAGAATAAAGGGTAAAATAGTCATTTTCATCTTTTTGTTAACGGATGCTAACGATAAAGGAAGTATTAGTCAATTGTCAAAAACAGTAAGGGTAGTTTAAGAAACTTATCCTTTGTAAAAAAATGCATTTTGGAATTTTGGGCTTAGGGAGTTACAATTGCACCTATCAATACCTTGGTATGTCATGTGGGTAGCAGGTATTTTAAAGGTGCACTAGTAGCCAGCATATCAACCTTAATAAATTATGGTATGCGACAATTCTCTCTCTCTCTATTTTTTTTTTTCATTTTGATTAGATGCTTCAAATTCTGCCAATAAAGTCTCTTTCTTGTGAGATAGTTGAGAAGAGGTCTTTTTTATCTTTGGAGGGATGCCTTTGTGATTATTTTCTCAGGTTTTCCAGTTATAATCAAAGACTGCATGGGTCGTTGGCCTGCCATGGGTCTTTGGTCTTTCGGAGGATGTTTTTACTGATTTTTTTTACTTATATTTTGAGTTTGACTGAACTTCAATTTGTAAAGGTATGAGGATTGGCAATCTAAAAACATGAAAGGATAAAGGAATAGATAACCTATGGCAAAAGAATATTCCAATGAAGTAGAACACTATAAAGATTAAAAGATTCCGGGAAAGAGTTTATAATTCACTTCTTTTTTTGGTGGTATAATTATTATCACTTACTATCAAATATGGAGGAATAGAGCATTTTGAATGACCCTAATTCCTTCTATACTAGCACACAAGAAACATGATCTCTACAAGTTTTCTGCTTGACAAGAAGCCTCAGAAAACAACAAGCATGAATAAGGAAACAAAAGGACAAATATGGAGAATTATACCTGGCATGCACTTTTAACTGGATTTTTTTCATATGTACATTACATGCACAAGGAGAATTTAGGGCAAAAATAATGTATACTCACTTATGAATCATAGAAAGGTAGATCATCACAAAATCGGGTATTCACTACTAATGGGCATTTGATATCAGCTGAAGTTACTAAGGAGCTCACAGTCTACTTACTGGCATTCACTAAAACCCAAAGAAATAAGTCATTCAGTTCATCCACTTCATCCATTATCAAGCAACCCCTAGAAGAAGTAGAACTTTCAACCCACGACCATTTTACCTAATCTCCCAATTATAAACTCCTGAAGCATGAAGAAAGCATACTTCTATAAGGCAACAACTATCACTTTTGTCAATTATTTTTTCCCTTTCCAAATTCAATTTAAAAGGAACTCAAATCTCCCTATTGCAAACGAAAGTAATTAGAGTTTCCAGGTATTTAGATTACCTAGAATTTTATATTTTACTGGAATGGGTTTGGTTTCAGTTATATATTCAATTATAGCAATCAGGTTTTGCATCAAATGTTTTGTTGCCTCTAAAAGTGTCTAAAAAGACTGTTGTAGACAAATATTCCATTTTGTTCTGCTGTTGTTTCACCCTAGAAAGAGCATGCTTGCACTTCCTACTTTAACAATTATGTGGATAATTTATTTAAAAGTACCATTTGGCTTGAATGGATGACCCGTTCCAATGTAAAAAAGATAATGAAAATAAAAATGACCAAAAACCATTGTTTGGGTTAAACGAGTTGACAGTTCAACCGCCTGGGTTAATCGGTTGTTGACCAAGTCAACGGTTTTTTGGCCAAGATACAAATTAAGGGTGAAATAGTACTAGTTGCCTTGTCTAGCCATCCAGGTCAACGATGATTTGAAAACCATGGTTTTAATATGTTTCTATAATTTTTTTATATTTTTTTAAATTTTATATAATTTTTTTATGTTTCATTCAATTTGGACTGAATTAGACCCAATTTGGTCAGTTTGCATTTAATTGGATTGGATTAGATTGTAACAAGTGTTGTAGTTTTTAATATATTTTCTGGACTTCTCATGTTATTTTGGTGTTTAACTCAATTTGGATTAGATTAGACCCAATCTGGTCTATTTGCATTTTAATTGGACTCGATTGAATTGCAACAAGTGTTCCTAGTTTTTCATATATTTTTTTTTTGGATTTCTCATGTTATTCTGGTGTTTGGTTCAATTTGGATTGGATTGGACTCAATTCGATCCATTTGTGTTTTAATTGGACTAGATTAGATTGTAACAGGCGTTGTATTTTTTTTATATATTTTTTGGTATTTCTCATGTTACTTTGGTGTTTGATTCAATTTGGATTGGATTGGACCAAATATGGTCCAATTGCATTTTAATTGGATTGGATTGAATTGCAACATGTGCTGTAGTTTTTTATATATATTTTTTGGATTTTTCATGTTATTCTGGTGTTTGATTCAATTTGGATTAGATTGGACTCAATCTGATCCATTTGGATTTTAATTGGACTGGATTAGATTGCAATAGGTGTTGTAGTTTTTTTATATATATTTTTTGGATTTCTCATGTTATTTTGGAGTTTGATTCAATTTGAATTGGATTGGATCCAATTTGGTCCATTTGCATTTTAGTTGGATTGGATTGGATTGGATTGCAACAGATGTTGTAGTTTTTTATATATTTTTTTGGATTTTTTCATGTTATTTTGGTGTTTGATTCAATTTGGATTGGATTGGACCCAATCTTATCCATTTGCATTTCAATTAGACTAGATTGGATTGTAGTAGGTCTTGTAGTTTTTTTTAATATATTTTTCTGGATTCCTCATGTTATTTTAGTATTTGATTCAATTTATATTGGATTGGACCCAATCTAATCCATTTTGGCCAAGATACGAATTAAGGGTGAAATAGTACCAACCAGTTGCCTTGTCCAACCATTTGAGTCAACGATGTGTTGAAAACCATGGTTTTAATATATTTCTATAATTTTTTTTTTATTTTTTAAAACTTTATATAATTTTTTTAATATTTCATTCAATTTGGACTGAATTAGACCCAATTCGGTCCATCTGCATTTAATTGGCTTGGATTGGATTGCAATAGGTGTTATAGTTTTTTTTTTTATATATATTTTCTAGATTTCTCATGTTATTTTGGTGTTTGATTCAATTTGATTGGATTGGACCCAATTTGGTCCATTTGCATTTTAATTAGACTAGATTAGATTGCAAAATGTGTTGTAGTTTTTTTTAATATATTTTTCTAGATTTTTCATGTTATTTTGGTATTTGATTTAATTTGGATTGGATTGGACCCAATCTGATCCATTTGCATTTCAATTGGACTGGATTGAATTGCCACAAGTGTTGTAGTTTTTTTTATATATTTTTCTAGATTTCTCATGTTATTCTGGTGTTTGATTCAATTTGGATTGGATTGGATCCAATTCGATCAATTTGCATTTTAATTGGACTGGATTGGATTGCAACTGGTTATATATATATATGCATATATATATATATATATATATATATATATATATATATATATATTTAGGATTTCTCATATTACTTTGGCGTTTGATTCAATTTGGATTGAATTGGACCCATCCATTTGCATTTTATTTGGACCAGATTGGGTTTAGTTTATATGGATTTGGACTGGATTTGGTCCAATCCATTTGTAAATGGACAAATATTGGATTGGACCAAATCCAGTTGCATTCACAGCCCCGGGAATGGCCCATTCCGATCCCGATTCCAGGGTCTTTATTCCCGAAAACCAAACGGGCCCTAAGGGTATTGGTAGCTAAATTTGCCTTTTTCTTGTTTCTTTCCTTTCTCATTTTAATGATTCAACCACCGGAAAAACCAGTGTCCTTGCCCTCCGTCCTGTGCATGCCTTCGCTTTCTTCACTCGGTCCATGGCGAAAGCCCGGGCACCAAGAAGAACAATAGACTCGTACACAATTAAAGGCATCAACAAGATCATCAGAGGTAAGCACAAACCAGTGAACCACCAAAGAAGAATCTTTTCTTTTGTTTCCTGCCAAACTTTCTCGAACATGCATCTTCACCCCTCCTATTTGTGAATTCTGCTTAACCTGCACACTCCTCCACAGCTGGGGACTGCGTTTTGATGAGACCTTCGGACTCATCGAAACCCCCTTACGTAGCTAAAGTGGAGAAGATAGAATCGGACAGTAGGGGGAACACGAAAGTACAGGTACGGTGGTATTACCGGCCGGAGGAGTCGATCGGAGGCCGGAGGCAGTTTCACGGAGCCAAGGAGGTTTTTCTCTCCGACCACTACGACATACAGAGCGCCGATACCATCGAGGGCAAGTGTACGGTACACAGCTTCAAGAATTATACTAAACTCGATGCTGTTGGTAACGACGATTACTTCTGTCGCTTCGAGTATAACTCCTCCACCGGAGCGTTCAACCCCGACAGAGTCGCTGTGTATGTTTGAATTTCTTCGCATACGTACAGTAATTAGTCCAGAGGTTGTTTCACTTTCATCCGTTAAATGTTTGCACGAAATTGGAGCCAAATTTGCGGTTTTGCTGGTCAAGTTGGGATTTTTCATTCTAAAATCTAATGTTAACAAAATGGATTGAATTAGGAACTGGGTATGTGTCATTCTTCGTGTACCTTTCCAGTGACTTGGATTTTGTTTTCTTTTTTCCTTTATTCTTTTTCCACTTCTTGTTGTTCTTCTTGATGTTGTGCTGAAGTATTCGAGGGTTACACATCAAAAATATCCTGGCTTTGCAAATATATGTGCCTTTAGAACCAAAGTTTGTGTCCTGAAGTGTCGTTTTCTGACTAACCGGGGTTGTATAATTTCTTGAAGCTTGTAGCATACTGGAGTCCTTTTGGAATTTCTGTTATGGAAATTGGTGGTCTGGATTCTAGATTTTGAAATGTCATTTTTGTGTGACACTTGTCTCCTCCTTGCCTACTTATTTATATTTATCATTTCATATGGGCAGATACTGCAAATGTGAAATGCCATACAACCCTGATAACCTAATGGTGCAATGCGAGCGATGCACTGATTGGTAAGTTTTAAGGCCTCTTTAATCATGTTCTTTCCTTTCTATTGTTTTATTCGTCTCATGGTGGTACTGTCTTAGGTGATTCAGTTTATAGGAACAGTTGAGGATAATTTAGAGTTTTTGCTAGAATGCCATTAGGGAAAATAAAGTATTCATAGTTGTCAAGGCATTAAGGGAAAGCTAGGTGACAGTAAAGAACCTAGACAATCTAGGCAATGGATTTTGGTAAAAAATATCCTAAATATTAGGCTGATTCCCTATGCTTACATTAGCATCTAGCAACCAGCAAACATCTATATTGAAGATAATAACAATATTTTTTATCTAACAATGGATTTCATAAACAAGCATATAAATATCATCATATCCATTAGATAATAGAATCACAAATTTATTAATTGCAATATTCCAAATACAACTTTGCAACACAATGATGTTTAGGGGAACTCTCTGCTTTATATGGATCTGAGAATTATTTCATGGAATGTGAGGGGGTTGGGTTCAAGAAGGAGGAGGATAGTGGTGAGTGATTTTCTGAAGAGGTGGAAATCGGATGTGATTTCTTCCAAGAAAATAAGGGCCTGTTCGTTTCCTCTTAACTCTTATCTCTTAAAGGAATCTTTTAACTTTAAGAGAAAATTGGTTGTTCGTTTTCTCTTATCTCTTATCTCTTAAAGTGCAACCATACAACTTTTTCTTTTCCAATGATACCCCTGAAAAGTTAAACAAAAACTCTCATATATGCGGTCAAAATAAATATTTGATAGTTTTCAGAATTCAAAGTTCAGAATTCAGAACAACATTCTCTGCATTTAGAGTTCAGAGGAAAGAAAAGTTCACCAATACCAATATACCTCTTAATGTAATTATTACACTTTCAGATGTCAGACTTCAGAGCAAACGAACAGGCCCTAAGCTGGAATTTGTGGAGGCAGGGGTGGTTAGAAGCATATGAGGGCAAGGTCAAGTAAGATGGATGGGCAGGCTGGCTAGAGGCTCAGCTGGTGGTTTACTAATTTTTTGGGACAGGAAAAAATGTAAGTTAATTTCATCTTAGGTAGGGGAATTTTCAATCTCTGTAGTTTTGGAGTTTGAAGGAGGTAGCCAAAGACAATTTACCAACGTGTATGGTCCAACAATCAGTTCGGATAGGGAGAGACTTTGGGAGGATTTAGCTAATGCAAGAAAGGGACTCAACATTCCTTGGGTATTGGGAGGAAACTTCAATGTTGTCAGGTTCATGGAGGACAGAAAAGGAGAAACTTGGAGAACTAGGGATATGAGAAGGTTTACGGACTTTATTAACCAGTTTAACTTAATTGATTTACCTTTCTTAGGAGGGCAATACACCTGGACGAACAACCAAGAGAACCCAGCTCTGGTTAAACTAGACAAATTTCTAATCTCACCAGATTGGGAAGATACCTATCAGCAAGTGAAACAGGTGGCCCTTCCAAGACCTGTTTCAGATTATACTACAATTCAGTTGAGCTGTGGAGGTCAAGGGTCTAGAAAATGTCCTTTCAAGATGGAGAATGCTTGGTTTGAAGAAGAGTGCCTTTACTTTCTTCATAGTGGACAGAAAGAAACTTTGAGGGTTCTAGCTCTTATATCTTGGCAAAGAAGTTAAGTTCAATTAAAGATTATCTTAAATCTTGGAAGTAGGAATTTAGAGATCAGACGGAATATGAAAAGAGAAATTGCCTCAATCTGATCAAAGAAATAGATTTGGCGGAGGAGAATGGTCCGTTACTTGAAGAAGATAGGAAGAAAAGTTCTGAAGCAAAACTGGTTCTCAATAATCTAGCATATAGGGATGAACTGAAATGTAGGCAAAGATCAAAAATCAGCTGGCTGAAGGCAGGGGATAGAAACTCTGGCTTCTTTCATAAGATGGTAAATGCAAGGAAAAGAATGAACCATATCGAAAAACTGGAGTTTGATGGCCAAATGGGAGAATCTTGAAATGGACTAAAAAACATTGCAACCTGCTACTTCTTAGACTTGTTCAAGGAGGGCTGGAAAAGGAGACCTCCTCCCCTAGATCTTCCGTTTAATAAAATATCAGCAGCACAACAAAGAGAGTTGGAAGCTCCATTTTCAGAGGAAGAAGTATGGCAAGTGATTAAAAAGCTAGAAGTGGATAAATCTCCAGGGCCGGATGGTCTCACAAACATTTTTTATAAGAAGTGATGGGAAGTAGTTAAAGTGGACTTTCTTAAAGTGTTTCAGGATTTCCATTCCAATACTGCCCTTGAAAGAAGTCTGAATGCTACTTTCATTTCTTTGATTCTGAAGGTGGAAGGAACTACAAATATGAGGGATTTCAGGCCTATAAGCTTGTTGAACAGCTTTTATAAGATTCTAGCTAAAGTTTTGGCTGAAAGAATGAAGAAGGTCCTTAACTCGGTGATAACCAAGAATCAATTTGCTTTTGTGCCAGAGACACAAATGCTGGATAGTGTTCTAGTGGCTAATGAACTGATCGATTCAAGGAAAAGGAAAGGAAAAACGGGGATGCTGTGCAAATTAGTCTTGGAAAAGGACTATGATCACTCAATTATCAAAAAAAAAGGACTATGATCACTTGAATTGGAGATGCTTGGACTTTGTATTGGAAAGAATGAATTTCGAGCACAAATGGAGAAATTGGATTAAAAGTATGCACCACTTCTCCAAAAATTTCAGTCTTGGTTAATGGTCAGTCAACTGACTTTTTCAAGAGTTCTAGAGGTCTTTAGCAAGGAGACCCTCTCTCTCCTCTTCTATTCGTTTGTGTGATGGAGGTTCTCTCTGCTTTTGTGAACAGGGTGGGAGAGGAGGGCCTATGGCAAGGTTTTGAAGCTTCATTGATGCTGATTTGGAGCAATTGGGTGTGCTTCTTGGGGTATTGTGCTGGTTCGAAGTAGTCTCAGGCTTGAAAGTCAACTGGGTCAAGAGCAGGTTAATTACAGTAGGAAAGGTGGAAAACATAGATAACCTGGCAGAGGTGCTTGCCTGCCAAGTTGGATTCCTTCCAACTACTCATCTTGGTCTCCCTCTGGGGGCTAAATGCATATCCTCTTTGATTTGGGAGCCAGTGGTGGAGAGGTTAGAAAGGAAACTGGCAGGTTGGAAAACTAAATCTCTCTCTCTGGGGGGAAGAATTACTCTTCTCAAGAGTGCATTATCAAATCTTCCCTCATATTTTCTGTCTCTCTTCCCAATGCCAAGAAAAGTAGCTCAAAGAGTGGAAAAATTGCAAAGGGATAGTTTATGGAAAGGGTAGGAAGAAGAGAAGAAGATTCATTTGGTGAGCTGGGGTCAAGTTTGTGCTCCAAAAGACAAAGGTGGGCTAGGGATCAGAAAAAATGAAGGTCTTCAATAAGGCTCTTTTGGGGAAATGGATTTGGAGATTTGGCAGAGAAAGAGGGAGCTGGTGGAGGAGTTTAATTGCAGCCAAGTATAGCCCTGACATTGGGGACTGGGTTACTACCAGTTCCATAATCTCTCTTGGGGACTGGGTTACTGAGTAATGGCCTTTCGGTTAAGTTGGGGAATGGCCAGAGGATTCGAGTCTGGAAGGATGTGTGGTGTACTAATAGACCCTTGCCGAGATGTTCCCTCAGCTGTTTCAAACGGGAGAAAACCAAGAAGCCTTGGTTGCTGACTGCTACGAGGTTAGAGACAACAATTGCCTTTGGGGCCCCTCTTTCAGAAGGCATTTCCAGGACTGGGAAATAGATCAAGTATCAGGGCTGTTGGAGATGTTATCTAATCAGTCTCTGGATTTATCAGTAGATGATTCATGGGTTTGGTCATGGAGCACAGATGGTCTGTTTTCTGTTACCTCGTTTCCCAGGATCCTCTCAACAGATCAATTTGCTGATTTCCCGGCTGATAAAGTCTGGAACCAGATTGTCCCTTTAAAGCTAAATGCTTTGATCTGGGCTGTGGCTCTGGATAAGTGCCTTACCAAGAGAAATCTGGAGAGGAGAGGTATACAGCTGCAGGATTCTTATTGTGTGTTCTGTAATTAAGGGGAGGAAGGTAGCAGCCACTTATTTCTGCATTGTCCTATACAAAATCTGGAACCACTTCTCTAGGCAGCTAGCTTGGGTCATGCCTACAACTGTTTTGCATCTCTTGTGGAGCTGGGACCAGAGAGGCCTATCTAAATTAGGAAAAGGTGTCTGGCTCTCAATTCCTGCAGCTGTAATTAGCACCATTTGGGCTGAAAGAAACAGAAAAATTTTCCAGGATAAACACAACACTGTGGATCAGCTATTGTCCTGTACTGTTGGAAAACTAATCTCTTGGAATGCTGTTGCTTTAGGAATTCAACCAAGGGTATTGGGAGCCCAGCTGATCCCTGGCGGCTTCTAATTGTACTGTTTTCCGGCTTCTTGGTCCCCAGAATTATGGTTTTGGGGCCTCTTGTATTCTGTAACTTGGTTCTGTTCTAATATATATATATATACAGACACCCTTCAGGCTTCAGTTGACTCTATTTATTCATCTGTTCCTCTGCTTTGTCCATCATCCACATTCTGTTACTGGTATAAGAACATTATATCCACAGATCTTATAACCATATTCATTCCAATGCTTGTGGTCCAGGTTCCATCCTCATTGTATAGACTTGACTGCAGAAGAAGCCAAAACACTTGAGCACTTCTTCTGTCAAAGTTGTTCTTTTCAAGATCAAAAGAAATTGTTCAACTCTCACAATGTTTCCAGAAACTCAGAAACTAAGGTATTTCCATTGCTTCATCAAAACTTCACAGGTTTGTGGTCCTTAGAGTGACTATATGAATTTACTTGCAAGCTGAGTTGCATATGATTTTTTTTTTTACAAGGGAAAGCACCTTGTATTCTCATTTATTAAATTATTAATAGCATTGGTTAATTAAGCACTGTTAATCTGTCTGCTGTTTTATTGTGATTTTTCAGCAATGTTAGATCAATAAAATTAGCAAGCTTTTAATTGCATTCATTGTTGTTTCTATGACAAATCAATAGCTCCTTTGTCATCAACCATTCCAGCATTTGGAGTTCGTGGTAAAAGAGATGCCTTTTGTATGATTTTCAAAAAAAGGGTTTGAGTCATGGTTTAAAATGTTGCGAAATGTTGGAAATGTCGCCCGACATGTCGGTGTCGAGACCCAGTGACATAAACTTTACATGAATTAAAAAATACAATATATCGGTCGATATTTCGACCATTTCGTTCCCAAAAAACAAAAAAATATATATAATATTTCCAAGTATATGTCGACAACTCAGCATATATTTGAACTACAAACATCTCATATCAAACAAAAAGAGACGTTAAAGAGGAAAAAGAAGAGGGTTTTATGTTTTAGCTTGTGTACCTGGAGCTGGAGTACAACTTCAGGATCTAACCAAGCACAAGAGTGGTCATGCACTGAAATATCTTTTTCTTGGAAGCAGGACATTCAGCTTATGAAACTGAAGAAATTGCTCTCGTCTTGATTCAGATATGCAATAACCCTATTTCTCTCTCATGGTGAATAACCATGAAAAACCTAGGAAAAAGGAAGAGAGAGAGAGAGAGAGAGAGGGGGCAGCGGAAGGTGTGAATTCAAGGTCAAGAAGGAGGAGAATGCTCTTTGTTTTCTTCTATTATTTTCTTGAACGGCTTCATTGAGTGCTGGTTTTCTGCTCATTGGTTGCAGACACTCTGCATCTCTTCGAGATTTGAGGAGGCTGAAGTTCATTCGAATGAAATTGAAACCTTAGCCTTGAGTTTATTTAAACTTTAAAGACTTGCTATAGTCCATGATGGTCTATGGAAGCCTATAGACCATCACAATAGCAAGCCCTAAAATGGAATCTTTAAAACACCTTTATATAAACATGTTATAATGCAAGAGGGTCTATTAAAATATTATAGACCTCATAAATGAAAACTAATAAATAGAATTTTTATTTCACTCTTATTACAGTACATGAAGGTCTACAAAAATAACGTAGACCCTCACTACAAAAGCCGCTAAAATGAATAAATAATAAGAAAATTAATATTTGAGATAAAATTACAATATTCATTAGAAAACAAAAATAAAAATCAGAAAATGTTAACTAGTTAGTATTTTTATAAAATATTTATAAAAAATAATTAACAAAAAATAATTAACAAAAAATAAAAACAAAAGAATAAATTAATTACATTATAATATAAAACATAAAATATTTTTCAAGTAATAAAATATTAACTAGTTAGTATTTTTAAAATATTTATTAAAGTCAGAAAATTTTTATTAAATTTTATAATAAATCATACTCTACATTTAATATAAAAAATCAGAATAAATTTATTAAATTTTATACTAAATCATAATTTATTATAAATTTAGTATTAAAAATCATAATAAATTCATTAAGTTTTATAAGAAATCAGAATTTATCATAATCTTAATACTACAAAAAGGAGAATCAGTTTATTAAATTTATAATAAAACTAGTGTTTTAAAAGCACAAGGCGCAAAAAATGTGCAAAGGCCAATTTGCGCCTGAGGCGCAAGGTGCAAGGCGAGGTGCGTGCCTTTTTAAGAAAGCCACAAAATTACAAAAAAGAAGCTAAAAAATAAAAAAAAAAGTCAGAAAATTCCAAAAAAGATGCCAAAAAATTTTAAAAGAATGCAAAAAAAAATTAAAAATATTAAACATAATGTTAATAAAAATATAAACTTAAATTTTAAAATAAATGATTTAAGAAACCTATTATCTAAAATTAAAATACATAAACATAACATGTAAAGTGCATTCAAATGAAAATTTAAAAATAAAAGCTAACATATGAAGCATTTTCAAGCATGTAAAACCCACAATCTCTTTTTTTCCTTAATTGCATTGCTTCAAGTAGTTAATGTGATGTAAAACATATTGCATTCTTGATTCTATGAGTCGCCTTTGTAGCATGCCTCTCGAGGCAAGCCCGAACAAGTCTATGTTAGGGTCTGAAGTTCTTATTTCTCACATAAAAAATAATGATTTTACAACTTTCATTGCCTTTTAAGAAGATGTTTTATCGCAATGAATGAATGAACAACATAAGCAAATTGGGGGTTCTCGGAGCTTCAATGAACAACATAAGTCTTGTTCGGGCTATGTGAAGTACTACAATTGAGTGAAAAAAGAAATTAGAGGTTTTACATGCTTGAAAATGTTTTATATGTTTGATTTTATTTTTGAATTCTCATTTGAATATGCTTTACATCTTATGTTTATGTATTTTAATTTTAGACAATAGGTATTTTAAAACATTATTTTAAAATTTTAGTTTATATATTTTATTAATATTGTGTTTAATATTTTTTTTTAATTTTTGGCATTTTTTTATTTTTTTGGCATTTTTCTTGAAAATTTTGACATTTTTTATTTTATAGCATTTTTTTTAATTTTTGCGTCTTGCATCAAAAAGGTGTGTGCCTCACCTTGCGCCTTAGGCACAAATTGACCCCTGCACCTTGTGCTTTTAAAACACTGGATCCAAGGAGTGTCAGGAGTATGAGATGCTACATGGAAAGTTGTGGCAGAGTTACTTGATGTAGACACAAATGAAGTTGAGGGAGGAGCATCCATTTGACGAATTGCTCTACCATAGAACTATAAATGGTCATGGAAGGAATTAATAATATCCTCCCTTGGGTCTGATCCAGATGTGTGTGTTTGAGTCACAGTAGTAATGTGGGGCTGATTATCTTGAAAGGCCATGTTTGCCATACTGTGCTTTCTTGTACCTTGCTGTCCTAACTTTTTACTCAGATCTGAACCTTGCTTCTTAATCAAATCTTGAGTCCATTTCGGCTTCCCATGAAGATCCCAGCATGTATCTCGGGTGTGTCGAGGTTTCTCGGGTGTGTCGAGGTTTCTGGCAATGAGTACACCACAGTTTGTCTTCGTCATCTGCCTTTTTTTGAGAATCCCCCCTCTTAAAGGTATTTCCCCCACCCGTAATCACACTCCCTTTTGCTTCCAATCCAATTGCATCACCTCCAAAATTATTCATCAAATTCCTTTTACTTTCTTCTGATTGTACTAGAGCATAAACTTCCTGGACAGAGGGAAGATCCTTGCTACCTAGGATTTGGACTCTGATAAATTCATATGTAGGATTCAAGGCATGTAGGAAAGCAAACACTCTTTGCTAGGAAACAAGTTGTATAATTTTGCATCTTCATCACACTTCCAGTCCACACTCTGATAATGATCTAATTCCTTCTACACAGAGAGACACCTCTCCCTCTATTTACAAGTGGGCGATTCTCCCTGTAATTGGTAAATTTTTGCATAGTGACTCATCTTAGAATATGTTGATTTTGCTTGTTCCCAAATTTCATTTGTTGTTTCAGCCCACATAAAATTCCTTCTTATTTGAGGTTGCATAGACACTATAAGCCAGGACATGATCATGCTGTTTTCTTGGTTCCATCTATCATATTCAGCACTCCCAGAATTGGGTTCTTTGATTCTCCCATTTATATAACCTATATTTCCCCTTGTAGTAAAGTACAATTTGATCCCTCTTGACCATTGTAAATAATTTAAGCTGCCAAGAGGAATAACAGCCATGGGAAAGGATAGGTCCACACCCCCATTCATTCCATTCTGCATTGAGGAAACGCTGGACATAGCAGAATCTTCACCGCTCATGGTTACAGATTCAAAAACACTCTTAAAGTGGGTACAAAACTTTAAAAAAATGGTCTAACACCAAGGGAGAAAAGGAACTCCTTTTTTCTTTAGAAACACATCCCTTTTTGATAAATACAGGTGCCGTTACCCCTTTTTGATAAACACAGGTGCTGTTACAGCATTAACAGGCCCTTTTTTGATAAACACAGGTTCTGTTACAGCACTAACAGGTCATCCCTTGACCTACAGAAACAAACTAATTGCTGTCACGGGGCATACAGGTCATTTCTTGACTTACGCATCAAACATAGATGCTGTTATAGCAAGTACAGGTCACTCTGACCTTCAGTTTCAGCATATAGCAGCACACAAAAGATCTTTACTGACCTACAGATTTTACAGGGTTCAGTTGACCCCACAAAGAAGGAAAGACAGAGGTGCTGGTCAAATCACATCCAACCAGCAGACCTAGTACAGGTTTTGTCCTGGCGCATGACCAGAAAAAAAGAGGGAAGGAGAGATGTTACTTCAGGCATGAGGAGCAAACTTGATCTTCAATCACTCAAACAGTAGATGATGTTGGCAGATCTGGAAGTCTGGTGCGAAGGGAACAGTTCACTCGATCTCTCCTTTTCAGATCTGATAGTCCCACTCTGATACCATGTTATGTAGGAGAGGAGAAGAGAAGAAGAAAGAAGAGAGAGAGAGAGGAAGAGAGAAGAAAGGTTTGAGAGCCGAAAAAGATTACTGGTGGTGCCAGCTTTTAAGTATATATACTAGGGAAACAGCAACTAAAAAATAAGAGGAGAATTACAATAGTACCCCTGTGGTGTACTATA